GACAAAAGCAGAGACAGCTGTCAGCTGCTGCAGACCTTGTATTTTGCCAGGCTCCATTCAAACTGTCTTTTCTTCTGTCAAAAGGAGCCTGCTGGTTTAGCTTGTCCTCCAATTCTCTGGCAGAGCAACACAGGGAAATCTTCTGAACGGCTAAGATTTGTTCTCCATTCTGAGGGTGTTTTTCAGAGGAGGCACTGCAATGAGGCCTTCTGGGGAGCTGAAGCTCATTGTTAAGACAGCTATAAAAGGAATGCTTCCAAAAAATGCTGGGTGTGATGAAAAATGTTGTGTATGCTTTGCTGTAAAATGACACAGCTAGTCATGTGTTGCACAACCAGAAAGCTTGTTAATCATCTTGTTAAAGTATACAACCAAATTTTTACATGAGGCAAAATTTCTATGTTTAAGACAATATCTCTGCAGCAGAGAAGAGGACCCCATTCCCACCCAATCAAACTTCTAATGTCACACAGTGGAAGCGCTAAATTGCAATTATTTCTCTGCAGCTGCTCAGTCTAGAGAAAATCTGACATTTATCCTTATAGAACATTTAAATTAAGTTGGCCAACATGAGCCTGCTGTGTGTTCTTACAGTATTTGTGTGCAATGACATTTTGACGGCATCCACTGTAGCGTAGAACAGCAATTTTTGCCAACATCAATACGAACACACTGTGTAGTTTATGTTTTTAGGTTCAGGTTGGATTTGTGTTTTCATGCTACCTTTGTGTCAAATCTATTTTGGGAAAATCCAAAAGAATTTTCAGTAAAGGACTTGTCATATTGCCACTGGTCACACACAGCAGCTCAACCAGCTTCAAACACTTTTTTTCTCTCTCTCAAAGTCAGTAATAGGTCCTACAGGCCTGTGTGAACTAGTCATGCATGTAGATTACTCAGAAAAGCACATTTCTCTTTGGGAATTGATTGCGCTACCAAACCCAGACTGAGAGATGGAGGCATTGCGGGATTACAGATTCACAGCACTGCAATTCCTGAAGAGCAGACAGAATGGAGCCTGAGGACACTGTACTGTTCTCAGCTAAATTTAAATCAATCAGGGCCAATGTGAGATGAATGAAGATGAAGTCCTCGTCATTTCGTTCTAATATGCAATTTAACAACAAGAACAACTGGGTATATAGTACATACTGAGAACATTCCCATTGGTGTATGATATTGTTTTAGGTTCTGATGTTCTTCACTTGTTACTAGGTAAAAAAAAACTAAATTATATTATTAAATAAATTAGAATATTATAATACTGATAAGTGGTTCAGCTCTGCACAGGCGTATCGCTGGAAGAGCCAGCCTTAGCCTGAAGCGGCTGGATGCTATTCCTGGTGAATAAATGGGCCGTACTGGCCTACATACCTGCGTTCTGCAACCGTTTAATGAACTAAATCGGATGAACCTGAAAGGCAAAACTGCACGGCGTTCACATAGAGCAAACCAATCTGTCCTGATTGTTTTAAATCACTCTTCGCTGATGAGCTGCTCTCAAATCACGGCGAGACTTGTGTTGTGCGCCATAAATGAATGAAATGAACGTCTTCACAATGGAAGGTCGATCAAATGGGCCAAATTTAATGAGCCAAAATGGTTGGCCCAGTTCCTACTGAAACGCAGCAGGATAATACTCCAAATGTTCACCACACAGTGGAACGCAAACTTGAACATAAATCAGTTGACATCCTTTTGCACTTTGTCGAGGATGCATCAATAGAGCACAGTGCAATTACTGTCTCATTCAATACTGTAAAATCTATTTCAGTAACATCTGTCTTGAGTGTGGCCCTGTGAATGAACTACAAACCCCAGAATGATCGTGCTGACTCCATAGGTGGTGGTGCTTTTAGATCCAAAAGATTTTTCAGAAGAAACTTTGACTCTAGCTTTGTCTGTATTGGTTGTAGCCTGCAAAAAGGTTGCAAGAGAATTACAAAGTGCCTTGCAACCTCTGAATCTTTCATGAACAGTATGTGCTTGTAGCTATGAAACTGGCCAGAACCATTCAGTACTGTAGGAAGAACGCAACTATTTAAAGCTTCTGCCACCACAGATAGTTAATTTTACTTTAACAAGTGGATTTTCACTGTAAAAACTAAATGAGAATGAACCAAACAATGCACAATTCTCTTGCAAGACTGAGTCACATGAAGCATCGTGTAAAGGATTCTCCTCAATTTGTTGTGACATGAAGACCAGCTCAATCAAACTGGAAAGCTGTACCTGCCATGCTCGTCCCTCAGAAACCATTCATTCATACATTGTTGATGAGCAGCATTTTAAACTAGTATCTGCTGAGGAAAGGCAAACACAAGTAAGACTGTACATTAAAAAAAAAACAAAGTCTCTTGGCTGAACGCCACTGCTGAGAACACAAACTGCGCCTTAGGTCTGAAAGTGTAAAGATATTCTGGGGTGGTGTCCAACAGTGCCGTTCAGCAGGGATTCACTGTGACAGTCTGTGAGGATACAGCTACAACAGCCACCAGTGTGCTCTGTATTAACTGACGGTACATAGCATTAGGTTTCTGTGATATAATCAAATCCAGAATCCATCAATCACACCTTTTACCGACAGACAGATTGTTGAAAATAATCCAGATGTGTCACATGGCTGGCCGCAGACCATTCACTGAGTGTATTATGGACTGAGTGGATTTGGTTAGTGCCAGAGCAGAATAACAATCCGCTGCAATTACATTAAGTTACAGTCCCTGATTGTCGTGAACACAGACAGAACAGTTGTCAGGAGCACCGAGGATCCCCATGTTGTCAATGAATGTCATATCCAGAGTAAGCCTCTGCCAGCGAGGCAGACTGACCTATTGTCCTACTGACATTCACTCTCAGAGGTCAGAGGATTTTTAACTCCTGCTGAGTGGTTACGTGTTAACCGTATAGCATAAAGCTTATGTCCTCTGCGGATCATTGCATCCTCCACCTGCTTAAGCTGTTTGTGAAGCTTAACAGGAGACATCTAACCTAACCTGGCTTAAATTTTTAGATATACAGGGAATTTGCTGTTTTTTACCCCTTCACTGAGATTTCAGAAGTTTAATCAATGGCTGGAGAGGGACTTGAACTTCTCTGCCATTTTGAATTCAGTACCATCATGTGGAGGTGTGAATGGTAATCCAGTACAGTGCTGCCTCTTAGGAAAGCCTTGAAAGCTGAGTGCAAACATTTTTGCCCATTTTCTCACATGACAGTCTTGACTGTCTCATGCACACCTACATTTTCTTCCAGGCAGGTGTGTAGGAGGGAATATCCACAGGTAAAGTTGAAGAAATTCCAGCACTATCCTACTGCCAGCATTAAACTTCTTTTTGGAAATACAGCATTACTGTCCTCAGGCAAAACTGAAGGATAAACTTTAAACTTGCCAGATGGACGTATCAAACACTTCTTCAGGTGAGACTAAAGGTACATCCCACTCTCCAATTAACAATATATACTCTAAAATTGATTTCTAAAAACAAAATCATCATCTCATTCAATTCTATAGTGTTAAAACAGAAGGCAGGAAAAAATGCAATTTTGGAAAACAATGACATAAGATATCAAAATATGAATTTAGATGAACATATTTTAAAGCCTTGCCACCTGTTTTAACTTTGAATGAAGTTTCTGCTGTAAAGCATCCCAAAGCTACAGATTTCCAAAGATGGCTTGTTTTTTGTAGTTGTCTGCCCAACTTCCTATTCATTTCAATAGGGATTTTTAACGCAGTTTTTTGCGAATATCATAAAAAATGTACAACGAATCTCTGACAAAACACAAAACATCATTCCTAATCGAGCCGCTCATTTTGATGTATGATTGGTATGGGCTTTCTAAAGCTGCGGACACAAAACTGTGTCAGAAGAATCTATAAGAATAAGCCTAAAGAAATAGTAATAAGTGTGACTCAGTGCTTATGCATTGGCACACTTTATTAAAAAACAATCTCACTATCAAAATACATGACAATAGAGATGATAAAGATGAAGCGTCCAAGCATGGCTCTTAAAGCTGGGCAATAAAAGACAATTCATCCTGGACTATTTCCTGGTTGATCCCATTCAAACCATGAGTGCCTGCTTAACGTGATGCTGTGACTTCAATGAGGGTCGATGAACCAAAATGTTGGATTCCAGTGGTGCTTATTGCAAGTAATAGGACGATGTGGGAGTTCTTGCTTCTCTGACAAGGCATTCAAGGATTTGTCTGAAATAGTGCTGCAAGTTTCAATTCCATGTGTCAAATATTGTCAGAAATGATCTTTTTGTTGCTTGATGTCAGAAAATGGTGAAAAAGGCTGCTGTTTCCCAAAGACTAGAATGACATCCTCAAATGTCTTGTTTTACTTTCATATCGGAGTAGAAAAAAGCAGAAAATCTAAAAATCTGTGAAGCTGGAATCAGATGATTTGGATTTGTTTCTTTAAAAATGACTTAAACCGATCAATCAGTTGACAATTAACAAAACAGCTGACAACTATTTAACTGATTGTTGCAGTTCTAGTATGAAATAACCATCTAAAACACAAATGTGACAGTTCATATGGCACAGAAAACACCCCAAACTTCAAAACAAACTTCATGATTATGTTGTATGTATTAAGAATTTGTGTGCAAAAAACCAGAGGATGTATTCACCCGAAGTGCCTTACTGTTACTTTATTTTAAAAATGCACAGTAAAGATCAGAGGATACTGTAAATGTTGCCCACTCACTCAGTTTAATTACATTAAATTTAATCAACCTAAGGCCTAGTATGAAAATGCTTTGAGTGAATGGACTCTGCAGTGAAGCTCAGTAAACCTTTGACAGAGTCGCCGACACAGCCTTGGAGCAATAAAAGGAAATTGGACGTCAGCAGCATCAAAGAAATTCGTCACAGTCTTCATCACGTACACAACAAAGTAAGCATATAAAATTCCATGAGACAGCTTTTGAAGACACAGCGTTTAGCATCAACTCAGTGCAAAAGAGAAGGTACAGATCTCCTACCTTGTGGGTGTAAGGTGCTTGTCCCAGGTTGATCCCATCTTTTGCAAGTTTATCCCTTATGAGCACCTTGAGCTTCAGTTTGGGATAAGTCACAAAGTCATTGCACTCTGTGAATCTCAGGTTGTGGTTTCCAGGGCAGGAGAACTGGTGTTTTCCTGCAGTTTGCGACCTCAGCGCCCTGCAGTCTTCCACTCTTCCTGAGTGTGAAGTGTGGTGGCACGTAGAAGCATCCAGAGGCTCTAAGGTGAAATAGTAGCCAGGCGATTTCATTCTATCCTGCTCTTTTAGCATGTCCACCGCCGTGAGCAGTCTCTGTCTGTGATACTGGATGCGGACGCCTATTGCATCCAGGTCTGGCTCTCCAATCTGTTTGCAAACTTCCAAATCATCGTACCCATTGTCAATGAACGCCTCCACATACTGGGCCAGATGGAGCTTGGACAGCCACTGCAGGACGAGATTTGGCCCTTGGCTCATCTTTAAGACTGGATATATTTACCTTAAGTACACATCATCATCATCATCATCTCCATCCACAGTGTTTCTGCACTGAGGCTGTGTTGTTGTCACAGTCCAGCACTGAGGTCCATGCAGCTCCCACCTTGCACACAATCCCAGCCTCAGTTCTCCAAATGTGACTCATCTATTAGTTGTGGGGAGAGCCTTGGGTAACAGAGCATATTGAGAGATATCAGGGTGGTTAAACTGTCAGCAGAACCTTTGAAAAAATGCAGACTGTGGCAGAAACATGTACCTTGCTGAAGTTATCTGGAGCCAGAACAGCCAGGACAGGTTCAGGCTGTCCTGTTGGGCTCCACCTGAGAAGCCTGAGTGACGGAAAAGAACGAAATCCACAGCGCGAGGACGCCGAAAGAGTCCGAATTTAACCGAGTTCACGAGACTTTTGAATTTTAAGCTAGTTAGCGTCGTCGTCCGAAACGTAAAGTCGATATTAGCCGGTGATAAACTCTTTAAACACGTTCATGTTGAAGTTAAAAATGAATAAAAAATAACACAAAAATAACGCTAACAGTTGGTGTGTTCTTCGGTTGCCTCCATCCTCTTTGTTTCTTTGATCCCAACGCTTACAGAGATCCATCAAACATTCATCCGGAGCAAAAAAACGTAAACCCTGGTGCTCCAAAGAAAAAAACAAATTAAAAAAAACGATGTATAACTCTTAAAAAGACACAGGAAGAGAGTAAAGCTTTAAAAAATATATCTGTAGCCGTCCAGAGTGCACTTGTTGAGGCTTACTTTGTGTCCGGCTTTCACCGTTTTTAAGTTTGCTGTCCCTCCGCTCCATCCGCCGGCTCAGTTCGACAGTGAGGATGCTGCTCCGGCGTCAGTCAGCGCTGGAACCCCGCTGCACGACGGGAGCTCCGCGGGCACTGGCGCCACCTGCAGGGGGCTTCTGGGAAATGTAGGAGCAGTGAATTAAAATAAATTACAATAAAATAATTTAAATATGATATACATTATTTTAAAAACAATATTGATATGAACCCAATTTACTATTTTTTCTTTAAAAAAAAAAAATCATGTCTATTCACAGTAATTGCTTTTTCCAGCCAATGTGACGGCCACGTTTTTAAATAAAAAAACAAATATATTAAATGTGATGCACAACTTGATCATTTTGATGAATTCTACTGATTTTAAACATGGCTTGAGTTAGACCAACCTTTTACCAAGTGGCTGTATAACCTATTTGCACATCTGACACACTTTTACAGGGAAAGTAATTACTCAATGCAAATTTCATACATTAACTGATCAAATAAAACCCCGATTACGACTTTTAAAAGCCTATCGTACAACAGCATGCCATACTGAGTAGCTGTTTAAGTAAAACAATTCAAAAAGCCGGGAAATAATTTATCAATACACAATCAATATAAATTACAAGCCATAAAAAGCAAAATGATTAATATTTATGACAAATCTGGGGTTTGTGCACGCTGCTGGATTCACATCCCAGATGGAAAGCCTTTTTATGAGGCTTTTCCATCATGTCTATTCACAGTTAATGTCTTTTATAGTAAATGTGATGGCCACATTAATACATTTCCTTAATGTTCTGCACAACTTCTAAATTATTCTTTTTAAAATTCACAAATTAGAAATTTTAACCTTTCGATCTCTAATACAATTAAGTGTTACGTGGGTTTGAACAGCCTTTGCAAAGTAGTTGCACACCTTAGTTGCATATTTGACACATTTTTACGGGGAAAATAATCCTAAAATGCAAATTTCATACATTACCTGACCAAATACAAGTGCATACTCGATAAATGTTGAATTAAAACAACATGCCAGTAGGTAACCTGGCAGCATTCACCCATACACATTAATATATATCAAAAGCAAAGCAATTCTGACAACTACATCAGACCTGAGGAGGGATAAAAGAATCACTAAAAGAAGTCAGTGAGTAAAGAGGAAACAAAACACCAGACAAAACTCGTTATGATTGGTTTTACATTTATTTTCCATTGCACAATAATATCTATATATACTGTATCTACAGTCTAAATTGTTTGTGGCAGCAGATTAAGTCAGACATCCATGTGAAATTTATTTTAATAAAACTGTACAAAAATTGCCTACTATGAGAAAATACTGCAACTCCACAGATATTCATCCCAGAAGACAGATGGATGGAAGTATGGCGACCGAGAAACCCTTGAGCTCTCCTGCACGGTGCTGCGAGCCGAGCTTCAGTTTTCAATGCGTTTTCTACAGCGCAGGAAAAAGCAAGAGTTTCCATGAAGCAAAAAACAGTAACATTAACAGATGTACCAATAAAATAAATATAATCTCTCACACGTATACAATTGGCATGGTCAAATGAAAACGGGACGCGCTTCGGATGTGTGATGAGAACTTCAGTTTTGTTCAACATGGTGGTTAATACAAATGCCAGAACAGACAATCTCTAAGAGGGATAATACATGGTTGTTTCAAGTTTGTAAACACTTAATATCATGCATCCTTCAATGTGCAATAAGAGACCATTTAGGACATATATGTTGCAAACTGAAGCACTTTAAAGTTGAGGCCACACTTCGTAGAAAGACTCAGCGGCCCACCCAAAGGAGACGATCCTCCTGCAGTAGCAAAGCTTAAATCTGAGATGAGCATGTTCAATATATACCAGAAAATGTCGTATTGTCATGTCTGGATGATGGATAATTATGCACAACCATTGTTTGGACATTAATGTGTGTTATTCTATCCCAAAATTACATTAAAGGTATTCATTTTTAATAGATTATTGAAATTAAAAGTATATATATATTTGTTTTCAAATATATAAATATATCATAGTATCATTAACCTGACATTGAAAACAAATCTGAGAGTGAAGCAATCAGCATAATTGGCAAACGACATAGATAAGCATAGGTTCTGTCATGTTTTGGTCCTTTGGAAAATAAGAAAAAAAAAAAAAAGGGACACAAAAGAATAAACACATTAAAAATCATACTAACAAAATTATTTTTAAGTACAAAAAATAGTGCAAAACCCACATAACTGCTCTTCCAAATGGGTTTATCTCAGTAGTAGTATACAGCAGAGAAGATTAAAATCAGCCGTCTGAAAGTGAAGGGTTTTATTCCAAAATGCCGCATATCCATCTTGGATAAAACATTTTTGGTATGACTGATAACTCGACATCTCCTACATGATTTAATACTCTAAAGTCTAAAATAACAGAAAAAGTCTCTTCATTTACTTCATGCCTTCGATCAATTTTTCAATTTCCACTCAAAGTTACTTCATTTTACTTTGGCGGATATCTCGTCTTGGAATGAAACTCTTCAAATTCACTTTGCACATGTACAGCAGTTTGGGACAGTAATGGAGGTGTCATGCCCAAAAAGAAGAAGCAAAGCCAAAATACTACTTCCCACCCTCCCTCCCTCCGACCCGTTTACACACAGTAGACTTCTCGACTTAAGAGTGCTGTCAAATCATCCTGACCGACTTTTACCATTTGGGGGAAAAAAAAAACAACCAAAAAACAAAAAAAATCAAGACAACTTTGTGAAATTAAGCAACTCTTTGGTGTCAGAAAAGAACATGGCCGCAAGCGTACAGTATGTCACATTGCCTGAACCTGCACTGTCAGATTTGTGTCCAGCTGTCCCGCTATTTACAACATTTGGCAGCAATCTGGACTGACAAAGTATTGTCTCTCTTTTCAAAATAAAAGACCGACAGATAATGCTCCTATATTGACACAAATAGCAGCATATCCTTGCACCTCATGAAAAAGAAATCTAATTACAATAGAAGTCTAGTTAATCACATTGAAAAACACTGTCAAGCAAAAACAAAAACCTCAAAAGACCTATTGTAATACACTGTATCTATGTAGTATTATAAACATTGGCGCCCATACACATATTCCTGAATATATGTATGTTCACAAACACACAGATATACACATAGGTAGAGGTTAGCATATATGCGTCATGAGGCAAAGGCAGAAGAGAAACAGTTTCGAAGTGAATGGTTTTTCGGAGAGAGATGACCAACGGCACTGTGTGGAACACCGTGTTGTGCTTGGTCATTTCTACTGGCAGCTACGAATACAAAGACAGCATTATCACTTCCATTGTGCTGTAAGAGACACATGCTTTTTTCCCTACACACTGAGAATCGAGACAAAAAAAAAAACAACCAAAGAAAATCAACTCAGGCTACAACAGAACGCCACAAACAAAATCTGTATGATCGTGTATAAATAGATCTTTATCACAGAAAAACGTAAAATTGTAACCAAAATATACATTTATGCTAATTATATTAAGGACAATCTTTGTCTTGCCCGTCGACTCGTCGTCCTTCTCGTAGCTACAGCCCCTCGAAAGCTAAGAATACAGGACCTTCAGGGGTTTACTTCCAGTGTATCAACTAATTCTTCTCATGGATCAATGTAAACTCTTCATTTAGGGGGTAAACATCTTCAGCACTTTTTGTTTGGTGCATTTAAAAGGAAACAAAAGAAAATTTAATGCCCAACATACAAACCATCTTTTACTTCATTTCTATTATACTGATCCAATAAATAGCTCAATTCAAAAATAAAAGCAAAGTGACTACCAGAAAACTTTTTTTTTTTTGTCTTTCTCACCTAAAACAACTTGATTGGAAAATGCTGTAAAAGGTATGGTCGGTGATGAACTAGTGTACTACCAGCCCTTATTCCGTGAGAGGCAACAGATTCATCATCTCCCTGTCCAATTTTTTTATTTTTTTTTGTACTGTTCTAAGTGCTTAAAAAGGCCCTTTCTGGACAAAAAAGGACAAAAAAAACAGACAAACAAAGGGCAGAAGACAAACTCTTAAAAACAATTTGGACCAGAAAAACAAACAAACACAAGTCCTTCACTGATTCAATCATTCCTATAGAAACTTTCACGTTCTCTGAACTGATTAGATTCGAAGGACACGGGGTCATCAGACTTTTCTCCTCATTTAAGTCCACTGTGTTTGGCAGACACCATAAAGGGCAGAGAAAGGAAAACAAACAATTGCAGTCAGGCCACCACGAGTACATTTTTTTTTTTTTGTTTTTTTTTTGCAGAATTGTCTTTCCTTTTTCCGAACAAAACAGCAAAGTGTGTAGATATATATTTATGAGACATATACGAGTGCATGATGGATATGAAAGGTCCCCCTCCTCTCCTGGTCTGATGTTAAACGAGCATTGTCGCTCTCTGGTGAAATGGAAAGAGAGACTCCTAAGAGCTTCTCTTCTCTCATTTCTTTCCATTCTCATTGGCCAGTGTCTCCTCTGCAGCAGTCCTCCGGTGACTGAGGTAATGCAGAGTGATGATATTGTGCTGAGGGAAAAAAAAAAAAGCATGATTCTGTTGAGCAGAACCCTCCCCCCTCCCCCACCCCCGCTGGAGAGAAATAGAGAAGAGAAGAAGAAGAAGAAGTAGAAGAAGAAGAAGAGGGACCTGCAGCTCGTCAGAGATACTGGTGTGCGTGATTACAGAGTCCGAAGCTCCACACGCTGCCATCAGAGCTGGTACCACTTTTTATCTTTGTACTTCAGCATCATCTGCGGGGGAAAGAAAATCAGAGTTAGAAATAAGGAGTCAGGCTAAAAAAAAAAAACAATGTGGCAAGTGCGTAAACAGATGTCGTTTCCGTACATCGTGGGCATGCTTGGAGAAGGACTCTGCGCTGGCCATCATGGCTGCTGTTCTCTCCTCGAGCTCGCCCAGTTTCTGCCCTCTCTCGTCCAGAGCTATCCTGGCGCGAGCGAGGTCGCCCACAACTCCTGATGCTGCGCCCTTCATGCCCTCCATGCTGCCTGGGCCGGGGATGTGCTGCGCCAGGCTACGGGATGCCTTACCAGCAGCTGTTTCACCAACTAGCAAAGACATCCACACGGTGCGTTAACGTATGCTTTAATATTTCAAGTAAAATCAATCATCTTAGTGATTGAAAAAAATTCTCCTGCAGCTGAAACCACCCCTTCCCAAAATACTTAATAAAAACTGTTACAAAGCAAGACACTGGATTAAATCTCTAAAAATGTCAGAATTGGTTCTTTGGTTTGCCTGAGTCTAAACGTAGTAGAGCACTGTACAGCATCACATATTGAAATATCTAAATAGCAGGAAACATTTGAGAAGGGAAAATCCAAACCACATCTAATATACTCTGAATTTAGAACGCTGTTTTAGTCTCAAAGGCAGCACTGATGGGAAAAAAACAGATTTAGCATTTAAATGGAAGGATAAATGTAAATGTACTGTAAGAGGTTGTAGGAATCCTTATGCAATACTAGAGAGTATTGTGTACTCACAGAGGTCCTCTCTGTCCAGAGACTGAGCTCCTCCACCAAAAAGGCCTTTGAAGAAACCTCTGTTTGGAGCCTCTGGTGTCTCCACAGGGGTAAATAACTCACTGAGCATCTCCTGAGGAAGACACAAACATCAGCACATCTTTTTCAATGCATTCTCCCTGAAGACACACGGGCTCAGCTATAAAGGCCTCACGAATCAAGCTTATTATAGACTGTGCCGCACGCTAAATTGTGTAGTTTCACATTTTTGTCAATAAAACATTTTTTATTATTAGTAATCACTTCTGCTGTGTCCACAAATGCTTAAAAAAACTCCTGATGAAAATGTAGGTTTTACACCTTGGTAATATGTCTATATGGTGTTTTTTATGTGCTGGAAGACGCTTTATGGGAGCAGCAGGGTGAGTCTGTCCACTTTAATACTACAGTGTATTGATAAAAACATAGCTTCAGACTTCCAGGGTTTTCAAGAGCTTTCTGGATGATTCTTCAAAATCAATTTTTGGCTTGAATAGTTGTGGGTTAATATTACAACTTGCCATTGTGTCATTTGGTGTTTGAGCAGTTTCGTAGGTGAGCTGGTGTGCTCCAGATGCACTTAGTGGGGAGGAAAGAGAGGTAGGGATCACGTAGATCTGCACATTTTAGCTTATGCAAAAGTTTAATGTTACAGCTAAGCCATTTTAAGGCAAGAAATTACTACTTTTCATGGGAAATAAACTACTTAATTACTTACTTTAATAGATTAGTTTTTACGGGTCTAGTCAATGATTAGAGAGGGACTTCAAGCAGTTTCGACAAAGAGGTTCTTCTGGAAATCTACTGTTGCTTCTAAACTCAACTAATGTGGTATTTTCATGAAGTTTTGGTTTTTATCATATAGCAACAAGTTACAACACAAGTCATCTCATAGCATTTAACATAGGACGGTGAAGATGACCAAAGAGGGACTTTAATAAATACACTCACAGCAGTTTGCCTGCCCCCGTCCTCTGTTCTCTCATTTATTGTTGTATCTACATAGACGAAGATGCAAGATTTCTACCTTCCTGTTTGGTAGAGCCACACTTGCTTTTGTGTTAGGAAGCTAAAAGATTTGTTTCTAATTCTGATGTGTAATGATACTAACTCTACGGTGCAGATCAATAAATGTGTGTTGTAACTGAACATGTGTGCTACATCACAGGAGAGACGACTGCAGTCTCTTGTACTGTATTCTAAAACAGGAGTTCAAAAATGTCCCTCACTTATTTTTTTAATCGAGAGTATCTGACCTGCAGGTTGTCGCAGGTCTCCTGGCTGTAGGTGATCCTCTGGAACTCAGTAGGTGAAGTGAGGTACAGAGCCTGACCCAGGTTAGAGAAGCAGAATGTTCTCGCTATCCGCATGTCTGTCAGCGGCAGGTAGTTCACATCCAGCAGAGGCCGTAGACTGGGCAAACTGTGACCACAGAAATAACAGATGATAAGAAGCCAGCAGGTTGCAGATTTTTTAAAAACTGTATCTGCATGGTTCCTTTCAGATCACACTGTACAAATACCAGTAGGAGCTAGAAATGATGGTACCTCAGAGTCATTATGTGGCCGTTTGCACAGAAACAGGTGATGCAGTTAGTCCCTGCCATCTGCACGATGTCAGCCCTCAGCACGAAGGAGGTCTCTGTGATGTTGTGTTTGTAGAGGCGGGTTTGGGAGGGCATGGCCACCACCTTGGCCTGTTTCTCCGAACACAGCACGGCAAACTGGGCGTCCTGGCCCTCTTGTGATGAAGGAGGGGACGCTGGCCTGCGCCTCCGGCCCTTCTCTTTTTCTTCATCTGAGGCATTTGGGTCATACCATGGCTCGTAGGAAGGGGGCAGCAGAGTTCCAGCGGCGTCAAGCAGACCCATCGTCAAGATGCCTCCTTTGAGTTGGGCCATAGTGCCTAAAAATGTGGGGTATTATTTTCATTTAGACAAGAAATTCAAATTACCATGGAATATACAGAAACTGTTGTGCAGTGCTTCAGTCCTTAATTTAAGGTCAGCTAAAAGGTCAGTACAGAATGGTGAGTTATACATCTTAATTTGGAGCATCTGCACAATAACTGTGATGGGAAATCAATAAAACCATTTCCATGTTTCTTTCTCTGCGATGCACTCCCACATGCATTTGATTTGCTGTTTCAGTTAAAGTAATGACCCTTACACCATCCACTTTTAATACAATAACACTGGTTTCCAACTTTCAGGAAATTACTTTAATATTTAACAATATAATTCTACTTTGCAGCAAATATGCTGCAATTTGTAATATGGTCAAAAGGTAACTTAAACTGAGCTTAAACCCAAACTATGAGGTTTTAGTTCAGCGTGCAATAGTGCCTGAGTGTGTCAAACTGAAAACTGAAAACAGATTTCTACAAAGTAATGCCAATTAATAAAAACATAAACTGTAAAAGAAGTGATTAATGGGGATAGACTGTTTATACAACTGCTGCCTGTTCGTCACCAATGAAAGCTGCATGGGAGAGTGGCAAAGAGGAAGACACTGTTAAAAAAAACAAACTCATATATAAGCTCAACTAGAGTTCTCCAGAGGGCATGTGGGAGACTCTGAACTCAACTGGAAGAAGGATATTTGGTCTGATGAGATCAAAATTTAGCTTTATGGCCTTCAGACTCAACGCTCTATGTGGCAGAACACAAGATCCCCAGTGTGCAGCATGGTGGTGGCAGCATCATGACATGCGGATCGTTCTCGGCAGCAGGCCCTGATAGTCTTCTAAAGGTAGAGGGTAAAATGAAAGCCTCAAAGTACAGGGAAGTCCTGGAGGACAACCTGATGCAGTCTGCAAGAGAGCTGCGATTTGGGAGATTTGTTTTCCAGCAAGACAATGGCCCGAAGCATACAGTCAAAGTTATAGAAATCGTTTTAAAGACAACAAGGTGAATGTTCTGGAGTGGCCGAGTCAGAGTCCAGACCTCAATCCAACTGAGAATTTGTGGCTGGACTTGAAAAGGGCTGTTAACTTAGGAGCCCTGGGCAACCTGACAGACCTTGAGCAGTTTTATAAAGACGAAAAATAAATATTGCAGTGGTTAGATGTGCAAGGCTGACTGAGGCCTATCCACACAGGCTCAATGCTGTAATTGCAGCCAAAGGTGCATCTACTAAATACTGATATGAAGAGGGCGAATACTTCTGCAATCACCTATTTCAGGTTTTATATTTTTAATTAATTGGCGCTACCTTGTAGAAATCTGTTTTCACTTTTAAATGGAAGAGTCTTTTTGGTAAAGTCTTGTCAAAAAAGGCACTGTAGTCATGTCTGAGTTCCCACCACTGTCCACCCTACAGCGAATTAATGTACTCATGTGGACAGCATGTGACAATTTAACCCTCAACAATATTGTACTGAAAACCATCTGTGGGGCTTTGATGCTGTGGACTCAATAATGAATATACAATAAGTGGCTCAATAATAACAAGACGCACGGATTTCTGGGACTCAAAACTGATCTTTTGGCCCATACACTGTGCTAACAAAACTCTTTACATACACATTTCCACAGTTTGCAGAGTGGCTATATTTTAACTCTATATCTTTCTTTTCAACTGTAAAGTCATAGGATTGTTGCTTGAGTTCCTAAAGCTTGTCAAAAGAGGTCATGATACATCTTCATTCATATGCAGACGAACGATATCGAGCACCGTTGAGCTTCTTACCACAGGAGGCGATGCCGACCGGCTGCTGCAGCCTCTGGTCCCCACCAGGTGGCAGGCTGAGGGCCACCATCATCACGGAGCCCTGCGTGGTCCCCACCAGCAGACAGGGGCTGATCACGCTGTCCGCCTTCCTGGGGAAACTCTCGCAGAAGTAAAAGGAGGAGATGGCCTCTCGAGATTCTCTGTCTATGCTGGTTACACTTGAACTACGCGAGCGGGTGAATGAGTTATCCTTGGCATCTGGACGGCAGGAGGGAGCACACAAACAGGAGAATGAGGAAATGATTCCCATAAAATGCAAAGGTTAAGCAGTTTAGCAAGTCTCCAGGCAAACGGGAAAGTCAGTAACAGGTTAGAGCTTCATTCTGCTTTCAAAAGCTAAACAGAGAAAGCTTTTCATCACATCTATGTCTTTTTTATAGAAATGACCCAGTGCAGAAAAAAAGACAAACATCAACAAACCCTGCTGTAGGCCAAAAAGCATTTTTTTGACATTGAGATGCTATACAAGGATGCAGTTTTCTTTAAATAGTTACCAATTCCTGCAATCAAATTGAACAGCATTCTCAATGTGAAAAAAGATGTATAAGATATGCATGTAGTACTACAGTGACTCCCAAGGAAGAACTGGTATTTAAGGAGCAGGAATTATTCATGCCTCATTGCTGTGTTGTCGACAACTGCAACACAAGCTTTTACCCTCTTTAAAAAGCTAATGAGGGATCCTAACAAATACACAAAAAGATCTTTAACACAGAAGGGAAGGCTAAACACATCGCCCATCGTGTCCGTTCTTCACAAGGAAAAAACTGTGAACAAGAAAAGCAAGATTTTTAACACTAAGTGCAAGTCAAGCCACTGGAACTTCCTCAAAAAGAAGGAAACAATCATTGTGAGAGGATTAGTGTCACGTGTCAACTGATTACACAATAAAAGCCCCAGCACTGGGGTTAGTACCAGTTATACCACTTCAGCCCAAGTCAGACCACGGCTGGTCCACTCACAGGAGTTGGGGTCTGACTTAGTTCTACAGAGGACCCTCTTCTGGCTCGTCTTGGCCGCTGGCTTTCCTTCAGTCCCACAACAAGGGCGCTTCTTACATGTGAAAGAGCGCCACCGTTGAGACCTTTTCTCTGTTCCCAGTGCAGACAGAGAGAGCATTTGTCTAAACTTACAGCAGAAAACCCCACCACATCTGGAATCTAACATTCCCGCCAACATGCTGCTAGACAATAAGCAATACTTCTACAGCTGTGCACCTCATACAAAGCAAAGGATTCAAATGGCAAGATGAATACCTGTGGAGAAAGGGTTTTACAAACTTAAAGTCATTGGTTTTGGCTTACCCTGGTCTGGCTTTTGCTCACTAGACGAGCTAATTTTCCGTGACATCTTGGCTGTAACAGAAACAAATACCCCTATTTTATGAGGAAAGAATAATGGCTAAAAATTGAGATTTTTGAACTGTTTGGAAAAAGTTACAAGAGAGGATTCGATGATTTTAGTAATTTTACCGAGCAAATCAGTGCACGATCATTAAGATAAACACAATTTAGAATCATACTTCAGGGTGGTGATAGTTACTGCAGGCCAGCTGTTGAGAGTATCCAGACTTTACTCTTTACTGAAACTCCTGGATGTGCAAGAGACAAGTCTTACTGCGTGCAACTCAACTCTTTATCGCTTTAAGGGAGATATTCTAATTCCAAAAACATTCCAATTGATTTCGGTTAGCGCTTTGTTGCCTGCTACCACGAGTCTTGTCATTCTAAAATACAAATCCCCAAAAGTTGCCTGTTGCAGTCTATAACCACCCTCGGAGAAAAACCACGAGAATACAAATGAGGAAGAGAAGCATCACAGACAACCAAAGGGGCCTGTAATGTCAAACAAAGCAAGAGGCAGTCGAGAAATAAGGTAATTACAATTCAGTGAACATAGTTATGCAAAGAGAGTAGGTGGAGGGAAAAAAAATAAATAAAAAAAATCAGTGGACAGCCAAACAGTTAACACTCAACTGAAGCCCTGGAATCAGAAACACATACAGCGAGTGTCTAAAATCGAAGAGAAATAATTCACTCATTTAAGTGGTTAGACATTAGTGCTGTAAAGCTCAAAGCAGGAAGCAGATTTTCTATGCTTTTGTATCAGTAAAAATAGAAAAAAAAAAACTATTCCAATTTGGCATATTGTGTTATATTCACAGTGGTGTAACAACAACCTACAGTATTTGGGAGAAGAAAAAAATGCATAGAAAATCTGCAGCCTGAAATTTACTGTGATTAGTAAAGATACATTCCTGAATGCAATGCTCTCTTTGATTGGCACAAGATGCACAGATTGACGTAGGATTAAGGCACAGTGTGGTTAGAACGCTGTCATTCAGAGGGAAAGAGTGAGTCATCACAAAGAATTCATCTAGCGAGATACAGTACCAAAGTCATTGGCAACCGTCTTGGAAAAGCGTCTGCTTTTGAACTTCACTGGAAACAAGGTTCAGAAATACACATCAGACGACTTCAGCCATTTTATAGATGCTACAATTTTAAGGGGGCATGCATTTAAAAACACAGTACCCTTCTCTATGAACTTCTGCTTTCGGTCATCATCTGAATTGCAGGGTGAGGTAGATCCTACATGGTGAACGGCGGCATTTGAAAAAAATGCATGTCAACATTATTTGTGTTGTCTTTTTTAACGATGCACTAAGGCTTCGGGGAGGCTTACCTGAAGTAGGTGATTTGCAGCGATCCTCTGAGGTGTTGGAACCATCATTGGAATCACAAAGCGCTGTGGGAGCCGCAGAAAATGTAATTAAAACTACAGTAGAAATAGTCCTACTCTTGAGCAACTCTTACTAAAGCTATTTCCTACAGTACAAGTGGTGAAAACAATGAAGGGTCACCTACTACAACAAAGGTAGGGTCAGCTACCCGCACAATGTACTACAGAAGCTGCACTCCAGTTCACAAATCTAGCACAAATCTGTTGACTCAATGTGTCAGTCTTGTTTGTCTACTAACACAGCCACAGGGTTTAAAGATCCACTACCTGATTTTGTTAAAGCGTCTCGAGCCGTAAATTTTCCTCCTCGACTCGCTGCAGATGTTGTAAAATAAAGCTTTGTGGATTTAACAGTGTTATATTGAAACCAGGCAGAGTCTCTTTTACGATATCAAGGGAAAGGCTTAGCGGAGAATATTGTGGGAAGGAGAATAAATTCTGACACAACGTGACTTACGGAAGGGAGATGAGCGTAGTTTTTTCACAGACTCAGAATACAAGTTAGAAAGTCTGGACATGCAAGACGTCACAGGTGGAATGTCTTTACCAAATCACAGAGAGAGATCAACAGTGAGACAGAAAAATGACTGGAAATCAAAAATGCAAAAGCAGAGAAGGCACTGAGTCTCAGCGGCTTGCTGCTGAATTTGTAACTCTTGAAACAAGCAGTAAATTATGTATTTATCAGGTAGTATTCTTGCAGTTTTGCATACATTAAAAAGTGTTTTTCATGACCGAAAACGCAGATAAAAGAGTCTTGAATGTAGCACCAGGCCACTGAGACTGAAAAGAATGACACAAAAACAGTGAGTGACAGGATGATTAGGCAGAGAGAGAGAACAAATCACAACAAAAGACATGACAGAAGCGAGCGAGGCTTTAACAAGCAAGTAAACAAGGCTTATGTGTTGTTTTGTCAGTTAAAGGAATCAAAAGAGAAGTCTATTAGAGCAGAGCAGCTCTGATACAGCATCCTCTCTGACATGCTCGCTCTGCCGTCTTTGCTCCGTCCAACTGAACAGATGGAGAATCTGTCAGCGATGCCCCCTGTTGAGGGAGAGGAGCTACTGCAGGGGGCGGTGCTCATGGTGCGAAGTCAGGGCAGCTGCCAAGTGTCAGCTCTGCCTCCCTAACCCTCCTCTAAAAGCCAGAACTCAGAGGGAAATGAGGGCTCAAGCAATCGCATGAATGAATGAGTGCTAAACTTACACCGCAGTACTTTTCAACAGAAAACTGACACGTGTGTAACTGGTGGAGTTCAGCTCACCTCCGGAAGGTTGTCGCGCTTTACGTGGGGAGCGAGGCTGCCTCTGGTAGGGGTCGGACGGGCTGTACAGCTCCGACGTTCCCATGTTGAGGAGCAGAGTTTTCTGGAGGTAGTCCACCACAGCCAGGCCATTACTGTTCCCAAACACCACACTGAAAAACAGGACGAATGAGAGACACAGTGGAGCTCAAAACTCTGATTTAGCTTTATTCACAATCTTTGAGACAGGATGCGATTCAAATTTCTTGTATTCAAATTTAGCAAAAATACAGCTAGAGGATGGGTATAAGCACCGCTATGAAGAAGTGTGGGAGTGATTTTTGATGTGACCTCGTGTCAAAATATGCAGTTTTCTGGCCGCGGAGACTTACAGGCCGTAGGAGGAATTGATTGCCAGGCTGGTGATCTGCTGAGGCGGCTCCCCACTCACCCACACCAGCTGGATCACCAGCTCCACCTGGTAGCCCGGAGACTGCTTCAGCGGGGAGCTCCGCACCCTGCATCAAACACACAGCAGGATCAGACAGCAGGTTGCACTTTGCACTGGAATGAATTATAACCCTCTGAATAAGCCACACCGACAATATCATTGTTATTGTTGCTGTTGTTGTTCCCCCCCTCCACCCTTTCAAAATGTTTTAGAATTTCTATCATTTGTATAAAAGAGGATTATTTCCCCTTGGTGTACTGATGTGGAAATTTTGTGAGCAGCAGACTGGAACTAGTGAATGGATGACTACATCTCTTTTCAGCGTCAGTTTTCCGGTCTGTTCAGCGACAGCCTGCTTCAGAGTGACATAAACAGCTGAGCCCGATTCAACCTTTTTTTTTTTTTTTTTTTGCAAAAACAGAACAATAAATCATAATGGTACTGTACTGTAGGCATGGGATATTGTCTCGGGGCCCGTCGGAGGAGTTGCTGCCTGTGGAGGGCTGAGTGGGAGGCTCGCTCTCCTGAGGGCTGGAGGAAGCTCCAGGCGTTGGCAGGGTGGGGGTCTGATCCCCTCCTGGGTCAGGGGAGTCCACGTCGCTAAACTCGCATTGCATCCTCACCTCCAAAAGCTAGAGGAAAAGACACAAACAGCATTTTTTTAGGACATGTTGCTGCACTTCATCTCTCCTGATCTCAGATAAAACGCAGATCAGAACCTGCTTTTGCTGACTAAACTGTCCCCACCCTTCTAGAAAGTACAAGGATCGATCATGCATAATAGGTTTCTACTAGCATAAGATTAAAACAGTGATTAATAATGAAGGATTCATTTGCACAAATCATCCATTCTGTCCCAGACAATGACTGTGTACCGACCTGAACGACTTCAGTGGTGATTTCTTGTTTGCTGAACCTATAGACGATGACATGAGCAGACACTCCGGCCACGCAGAGCATCCTGCTCTCAGGACACCAGGACAAGGTCTGGATGGCAAACGGGTCCTCGTCTACTATATCTGTACTGGGCTTCTCCTCCTTACCGCGAGCCCTCTCGAACACCTTGGCAGTCTTCAGCTTGTACAGCACTTGAAGCATTACTTTGAGAAGAGAAACAAAAAAGGGAGCCGTGATGATTCACTGTCGGCGATCAATGTACTTATGATAGCAACCAGGTCAGAATAGGGCACGAGGTAGTGCAGTTAATATTATACTCTCAAGCAGCATTAACAGCAAAATGTGTGTGCTGGTAGCATTAGTTCTTGTGAATTTGGTTATTTATAAAGAAAATCTGTGTGTTGGTAGGACCACATAGTATACGCAGATGACACTGCTGTGTATACGCATTCTCAAACAACACAGAACGCCTTTGCAAGAGTTTGTTTTTTTTTTTCAAAGGAAACATCATGTAAAGTCTGAGAACAACCAGGTCATGCTTGTATTCATCTTAGAGTGCAACTACACCTGCTGCATAACTCTGAAAAATGCTAAAAAGCAGGCCTTAGAGGAGGGTAGGTGTGGATGTGTGAGGCTGGAGTAGCTCAGTGGCATCTACAGGCTACAGAAGAATCAAGAATGACAAAAAATGTGCCACAGAAGGCTCTTTTGAGAAGGACTGATCCCCTCCAGAATCCTTTTAAGCAGACACTAATACAGTGGAGGAGTATAGTGGTTCCATCACTGGCTCCTGCCCTAGAAAAGCTGGAGCTCTCGGAGCCGAGGCAGTGCAAGAGTAAGAGAGGGTAATCAGCGCAAGTTAACTGGAAGGAGGGTAGAATTAGGTTCTGAATGGTAAGGATGCAGTACAATGGTATTTCTAGAGCTGTCAAAAGCACCTGTCTGAACCATTGGACTAAAATTGTGTAAACTCCCGTAAACAGTAAGTCTTGATTAGGAAGTATTTGTGCAGTGTGCAGTTTCAGTAACTTCGATTTTGGTTGAGGGACGTGGCCTTCACACCTCTGATTAAAGGGCTTTAATATCCTCCATCCGCCCTCTAATGACTTCGTGTCAGCATCAGCATCAGCCTTACAAGGTCAAAAATGATTTCAAGCACTAGGTGGTGTGTGGATACATTTTCAACACATAAAAAGCAGATTTTTAAATAAATTTGGTATAAAACGTACACACATGCCATTCCAACTGTTTCAAAACAGATGAAATTCCCAACAAATGTCATTGCTCTAGATGTGTCTTGCATTCAAGACATTAAATAATTAGGTTTCTTTTACACAGCATGTATTTGCTACCTTGTAAGGTAACAGCAAGTTAGCAGAATCAAAACTGTGAGCTGAAGCTAAAAAAAACATGTAGGCTTAGACTAGTTAACAATAAAACAAATAAGAAAAACTACTCACATGCAGACGCATCCCAAAATTTGATTGACCCATCGGCATGTCTATATAGAGGAGAAAGAAGACAAACCGTTAAAATACAACAAATGGTATATATGTCAACAGAAGTAAGGTATGAATCCTGAATTAATTTAGTTATTTATGAATTACAGACCCTGTAATTATAATCTCTGGATAACTCTGTGTGTTTTGGCCCCAGTTTCCCCCACTAACAGGCCATTCCTGTAAAAAAACAAAAACAAAACAGAAAGCATGTTAAATTATAAAATACAATAATACTAACTGTCTGGGTATTTTATCTATTCATGTATTCAATTATCTGCTATACAAAAGTATGTTTCTCCCTGCAGGGCTTCCAGTTCAGCAGCCTACACACTGTATGTCTCATTTAAAGTGCACTTAAATATAGATGACACAAAGGAGCAGTTTACCTTCTTGCTGTAACCTTGTCTCTTTTGCCGGCTGCCGACGGAGTAAAGTGCAGGAATAAGTTCAGCAGGGCAGTCAGCAAAATACTCACAGCAGGTCACTGGTGACTCGTGGATAGTCAGAGGATATGGATTCTCAAAAATTGGGTATCTGTCGAGGAAACGAACCACAGTTTATATATGAAAATAAATTGCACACGATATGCACTTAGCTGCCGAAGTGATATATGAATGACAACTAACGAGCATTCTGACTGACCGAGTGACTACTTTAAATGCCCCATGACGGCTGTCTCGAGTCGAGGCAATTTGATTTTAAAGTCACGGATGACAGTCGAGTGTGACTTCCAAATTAACAGAGAGCTTGGGGGGAAATTTGTGAATTTAAGAGCATGATTGCGAGCTACATCAAAATTGAGGGGTGTACTCTCATTAATGTGATATAGTGGCGCCGTACGAACACTTTCTAAGAGAGACTTGCCATTTAAATGCCTGCTTCAGAGCATATGTAGCAATAAAAATGCCCAACTTGTAAAGAATAAGAGCTAAATAAACTGGATAAACATCTATTACGACAACTGCAAAGAGGAATCATCACTTTGCTTTTTTTTTTCCTTATGAACATTTTTAAAAATCTGACTGAATCATCAATACGACCTCTTGTATTAATATGATATGCTTATGTAAAATAGACGTATTTTAGACACAAAACACTAAATAAATCACATTTAGTAAACAGAATAATTACCCAATTTGTCCCAGGTCTATTACAACTAAATCCTTCTCAAGTAGGACCACCACAGCATAAGGCTCCTGAAAGTCTGGCGAACAAAAAAGCACAATATCAACGTGGATAATTACATACTTTTTAATGAGCTATTACACATTCAAATTCTTTAAAAACGGCTGTCTAAAGTGTCAAAGCTCACCGTTTGGATATGGAGTTTCGCACAGCGTGAGGAAATCTACAATGGGGTAGTCCATCTCCAGGACGGCAGTGCTCTTTCCATGCATCACAGTCAGACAGGCTCTCCTCCCCACCGTGTCGTAAGACAGACCTCCAGACAGGACCATGAATGGGTCCCTGAGTGCGGCAAACACGCATAAACATTTTAATTGCTTGTTCAATAAAATTGGGTTTGTTGTGAAGGTAAAACAAAAAAAACCCGACTAGGTCCAATCAGTGGGAAATGGGTGATGAGGGACGCCAAATTTTACTCCTGAGCTTTCTCTGGAGATTATTTGGCCCCATTTCAAGAGAAGCCACGATGGGAGGGGGCTACTTTTTAATTATAATGACAACTATATTCATCTCTGTCCTCAAATGTAAGGAATAATTAGAACAGTTTCAGTGAAATTGTTCATTTTCATGGCATGTTTTAACAGGAGAGTCTTTTTTAAAATCTGTTTACTACGTGACCTTGACAACTGCGTTAACACTGATCGCAGCGTAATTAACGCGTACACAACAAATCATTTGTCAGGAAAAGAAATCATGTATTCAATGATCACAGCAAAACGAGACCTGGAGGAAAATAAAAATAATTAGACAGGGCCTTTCCAGCTTTCCATCCAATTTAAATCAGCGTAAGGATGCTGTCAACAAGCCCGGCGTGTTAGATACATGAAGAATAACAGGAAAGGCTAGTCAGGATATGTATTCAAACCAGGGTCCGTTAAGACACAGGATGGGTGGAGACTGGCTACTGTCACACTTACCCAGCCCTTGTTGTTTTGTACTCCACTTTCAGGATAGGCTTGCATGGTTCTGGCTTTTTTCCATCCTTAGGCTGCTTTCCTATTGGGGATCAAGTAGGTTAATTTGCAGGAGTACACTCCATGTTATAGCACATGTTGCTGCCATGCATGTGATTTTTTAAATGATTTTTTCGAGCAAGTCACACCTCTGAGACTGGAAAGGCTACAATATGTGCTTTTAAACACAGGCATGCACATACAACTGTGTGTACACAACAGCTCCTACCATGTGGTGTGATGATCTGTGCAGGCTTGGCCGGGGCTCGTACATTCCACGTGGTCAAAGTGCCGTCGGAGTGGCTGCAGACAAACTGTTTCCCCTCATGGTGCCAGGCGACGGAGTGGATCGCCTGAAAGACACACAGCAGCACAACATCGTGTACGTCCAAACTGATGTGCAGATCTGGATTTGCCTACAATACTAGTGTCGGTACTTGTTTGTAAGATTTGTTAATTGGTGGTTGAGGTCTCTTTGAGGGATTAGTTTGCAAATATAGAATCAGACTCAGTGTGGCGAACCGAAATTTAGTCAAAGAATTTGGCCAAATTTGTATAGTTTTGCTCAGGTATGGGACAAAACACTGATATGGCAATATATCGTATAACTTCCTCTGGGGATACTTTATCAATACATTGGCACCAAATATCAATATTTTTATTAAAACACTCTAAACTGCTTCCCTTGCCAATTTGACAGAAGTCACTGTTTAAAGGTCCCATATGGCAAAAGTTCACTTTCATTGTGCTCGCTTGTCAGAAACTTCGCGGTATAAAATACAAGCTGTTAAGATATGAAGACATTTACTTCTGTAATTCTTCAAGCTTCCCCAAATCCAGCTAGCTTACTAGTTTTACAAGCCAGTCAGAATTCAACCCAGGTGCTACGTCCTACCTAACTAACTAATAGTTCCAGTCAGACAGTGTTTTCTTCCTGAATGGGACGGGAACAGCAGCAGCTCATTGGTTTTTTAGTGTAACACAGTCTGTTTAGAACATCAGTGGTAACACAGACAAGGTGAAATAAACCATCTTTGGAGTTTTTGTAGCTCAGAACCTAAAATTCACACTGTGTGGACATGTGAGACTTTGATTCATTTGCTAAAAAGCGGCGTAATATGGAACCTTTAACGACTCCTTGTGGAGACACTTATCAAACAAATGAAGCTAGAGTAAACAGACAGTGGGGGAAAGCAAATTAAACTGTACATAACACACATAATTCTTGTTTTTTGCCTTTTAGAGGTACTTTTTCTTCTTTGGTTACACAGATATTGTGATTTATTGTACATGAATGTCTCACAATGTAATGCAAAATCACCATATTGTAATTCTATCCTTATTGGAGGCAACATATCATCACAGTATCTTAGAATAAATTAATGTATCATTGCCTCGCCATTCTCATCTCATGCTTTTAGCTGCATAATATACAGTTTGTTTGTTTTTTACTTTATTTGTTCCAGTGGCAGTCATCCTTCTCTAATTTGGAAGCTCCTGAGATTTAATCTCAGAGGGACTCAACGAACAGAGAGTTCAGATTTCACGGCAAACTTTTCGGGAGCCTTTTTTTTTTCCTTTGATTGAACTGACGGACTACCTAACAAACCCAAACACTGAGAAAACCCTCAACAAACTAGTTCCTCTGACAAGACTCAAGTGGAAAGAAAATAACACCTTACCTCATCATAATTGTAGCGGTAGTCAGCTTTTTTGCACTTCAAATCCCACAACACCACTACCCCGCACTCGAATCCAATCAGAAGCTGCAATAACAAGAGAAGCAAAGCACAAGTCAGCTGATTCAGTTAACATGACTCCATCAACACTGGACCCTCATTCAAAATATGTGGCAACGCTTCATTTTATCCATCCATCATCTATACACTGCTTAATCCTCACTAGGGTGAAGACAGGGGACACCCTGGACAGGTCACCAGTCTATCACAGGGCTACACTTAGAGACAGACAACCAAGCACACTCACATTCACACCTACGGACAATTTAGAATCACCAATTAACCTCAACATGTTTTTGGACTTGTGGGAGGAAGCTGGAGAACCCGGAGAGAACCCACGCTGCACGGGGAGAACATGCAAACTCCATGCAGAAAGAAATGTACGCGAACCGGTGACCTTCTTGCTGCGAGGCGACGGTGCTAACCACCGAGCCACCTTGCAGCTCCGCTTCATTTTATGATTCTCATAATTTCTTAGGTAATTTATTCAAAAGTATATTTTATTTGGTATTAGTTGTACAGGCACATAGGTGGATAGTTGGTTCATCGAAACCATCTGTTTTAATTCCATCCCAACTTGGCTGCTTTAAAGGATATTTTTCCCAAATATTTATTAGCACGTTACATACCACAAGGTTTTGAGATTGCTTTAATTAAACCTTCACCATAATCCAGGTTAGACCGCAATCCAACCTGCCCTTTATTTCTAAAATCCCCCCCAAAAATAGTTGCAACGTGACCATTAGTTTAGAAACTCTAAGAGTCTCTGTCAGGATTTGGTACATCATAGCACAGAAGCAGCACTGGTGAAAGTCACCAACAATGGACTCGTCTCTACACTTGTCCTGCGAGATCTGAGTGCTGCATCTGACACCACTGATCACAACATTTTATTACAGCCGTCGGAATTAAAGGGACCACACTCGGCTGGTGTAAATCACATCTACCAGAGACTTTCCAACTTGTTCATGTCAATGATAACGACGTGTTTCGAGATGACTTGCTGTTGTGAAGTGGAGCTAGATTAATAAAACTGAAAGAAGTTGAAATAATAGTAAGAAGCAGCTCATATATGATTTAGTACGTATTCATGCAAGCGCTACAACAGCTACGTTTCTACATCATAGTTGATTTCTAGATGAGTTTCTCTAAGAGCGGCTCAATTCCTAATGACTGGGAAAACGGATCAATCCCAGCTCACTGCATACAAGTGACACAAATTAAAACCAGAGTGAATCAGTTCTTGGAAACTGTATTTTCAGGATTTCTTGAATTGAAAGCATGCTTGTATTGCAAGAAAATACTTTCTCCAATGTGCAGCTGACCTGCTACGCACTGACTCTGGGTTACAGACTCTACATTTCAACAGTCTCACTTTATTACTTTCTAGGAAAAACATCACATCCACATATGTATTCTAGTCTGTTGAGGTCACTCGTGCTGTCTGCCACGATTCTTCTATCTGTCAAAGGTTACAGAAAACGATTAGTCTGGGAAGAAACCCTTCCTCTTTGATTGTGACACCAATATCTGAAGTTTCATTGACATTTTAATTAGCTAAAAATGTTCTGCTCTCATTCTCCACTGTAGCTGCACAAACCGTATTGACATTGTGTCGTCTGCAGCGGGGCAGTTATCCGCACGAAAAAGAAAAAAAAAAAAAAGGAAGAGTACACCACTAGATAGCAAATAAAATGGAACATTTGTTTTACGTCTCGGGGTAGGAATGTATCTGTTTGGTACAGGCTATGTCGTGGTTTTTTGCTATCAGCTACCTTGCCCTCGTCCATGGGGTTATCACTGATGTGCACAACAGGCCCTGGGTGTGTCTTGGTGGATCTGTGAGAGAAAATATGAAGAAGAAGAAGAAATAAAGAAACAACATTTACTTGGGTTGTGTGGGTGAACATGATGTATACATCTGATAAATACAGTCTAAAAACACACTGAGCGAGAAAGACGGCGAGGCAATTAGGAAAAGCATCCAAAAAGATTTTTAAAAAAACATTAGAAGCCACAACGTCTGGTCGTGCACAAAGAAAAGGGACACAATTATAAAATGAAAATGTGCATCAGTGCACCAGAGAAAGAGACATGACATATGAGAGAGACAAACAGAGAGAGAGAGAGAGAGAGAGAGAGAGGGAAAGCAGGGTCACATGAGGGTCTATGAGAGATTATAGTGTGTGGAGACAGGATCACCGTGGCAACAGAGCAAGGGGCATGGAGGAAGTGAAGGTCTGGCCTAAAGAAAGTGTTGCTGCCTCTGAGTGTGGTCTGGCTCCAGTGGCTAATGATCTCATTGCTGCTGATGAGTCGATACAGTCAGAGATGTCGCAGTGAATAAAAGGCAAGGATGGACCAGAATATGAACTCCAGTCAGTAATCACCACAACACAAGACAACATCCACGCAAGGAGCTGTTTAAATGAGCAGCTATAACAATAATAATAATAAATGTAAGTACACCCTATATTTTGTTCTCCAAAAGCTAAATATTTTTAAGAACTTAAATGAATTTTTCCCACATGGATTTTTAGTGACTGCACAAAAATAACAATAAATTTTCTTCTTTTTTTTTTTTTTTAACCTTCTGAGCCTCAAAACCCATCAGCAAGTTTAAAAGGAATGCTGTCTTTGTAAAATCACCAAAACTACACTATTTATTACAGCCAGAAATTGCAAAAACAGAAAGAATCGCCACATTTTGAACTTTTCAACAGACCTTAAACGAAACTATCCGTGACAGGCAGCTCCGTTGGTAAACAAATCTTTGGTTATAAATTGTGGTATTTCATAAAAACACCTTGATTCCTCGTGTCTCATTTAAACATTTGTGAAAAATTGACTCTTTGCACTATCCAGATTCTGTAAAAAAAGAAAAAATTGTGTGCTCCTCGGTGCAACCGTGAGGCCATTAGTGTCAATGCTGCAACCAACAGTAACAAGATAAAAATTCAAGGGCATTTCGGCTAAGCTGGGATGAACTGCAGGCTGTGTACACACCGAGCAGATAGAAAAGCATGAAAGCAAATTAAAAATGTAAGAAGAAAAGTAGTTATAGCATGTAGAGTTACCATTTTTCCCCCAGTATTGGCAACACCTGGGGGCATGTTAGGCTTGCTGATTACATGTTTTCTTAATTTTTGTAAAATAAGCTCACAGAGGAAAGAAAAAAAATCAGATAGGAGCAAAAAATAATGCCCGGAAACTGCTTGTTGCTCAGGGGGCTAAACTCACATTAAAGCTGAAGTCTCATTTACAATAAAGCTGAGAAAAAAAATCTGATCATTAAGACTACAGATGCTGTTTCTATACACAGCAGGAGAATGTGAACCTACAATTTTGCCGAGACAACAAACCATAAAGCAGGAAGCGTCGTGAAAAGACGATTCTATCACAGTCTGAATATTACGTTTCAGATTTCACGCCGCATCTTTTTTCCCCAATCAAACAGGCGAAATCATTTCCCATCTCCACTGTCTGTCTCTGAGACATTCATCTAAGCAGATGGCACACTTCCCTCTGACACTTTCAAACTCCCAGATCTAAAACAGCAATTCCTCAGATTTCACCAGCGGCCTCACGCGCGCACCTTTATAATCTACTACCAATTTCGGCTGCCAGTCACTGTCTAAAATCAATTTTTTTCCGCTCACTTGTGGGCGTCCTGGAAAAATAACTTGGAAAGAGAAACTTCTACTGGCTAAAGTTTTCATTTCTCAAAAAAATAAGCATCGCCCTCCCTTTTTTCAGGATGCACAGAACCAAACGCTGCAAGTTCCTGACACTGATTTTATAAGTTTTACCTGCGTGTGACCCTTGCAAAGTTATATCGAAGCCCTGCAGGAAATCCAGTAAAAACCTTTAGCGATGCCCAGGATGTGATGTAAAAATTCCTTGTGATCTTTACAGTAGGTGTTTACATGAGGGAGTGGGTGACACAGGATAAGTCACTGGGGTCATCAAGTAGGCACTTCCTATCAAGAGATGTTCTGTTAAATCAGGCAGCAAACACCTCCAGAAGTCTCAACAGCAAGTCCTGGCATGGCACAATCACCACCTCCATACCGCCCTCACACTGATCAGAGCTACAGTATTCTCAGCTTACAGGACACACTGTATCTGCAAACGCAGGCATCCAAATTCCTTTGTATTTCAGAGTTTCCTGTTTGAGTGTCAACTGCACACAGAAGATATGCAAATGGCCAGTGAGTAAAAGGGAGGGAAGAAAAAAAAACAAAACAAAACAGAAGACGATTGTGAAACCCAGACTCACAGTTCGATGGCTTTGTTCCACATAATAACGTAGCCTGAGAGAGTGAAGGACTCCACGTTGACGATGTGGATGTTTCCTCTTTCTGTGCCGATGTACAGCCATTTGCTCTGGAAGGGCAGGTGGCAGTATGTGATTCTGCAAAGAGATCGAGATCCATCACAACCAAGCTTTTCATTATCTCATGACTCAGTCCCATCAAAGGGGTCACCCTCGTCCCTAATCACGCCGGCCCTACTGGAAGGAGTAGCGAGTGACTAAGATTTAATTACAAAGGCCATGCACTGTGTCACACTAATGAAACAGGACTATATATAGATCAGCTGGGAGAAATAGCAGAGTAAATACAGCTGTCTTTTCCCAATTGGGTGGAAGAAACATTCAGACAAAAATCACATCTGCAAAAAGAAAAACTACCTGACAGGGCTTAGGTTAACCGTTTTATTATGTGGCGTTGTGTTATTGTGCGAAATCCTGACTTAACAACAACAAAAAACAATAATTGGCCTAAAGGTTGAACCAATTAAAGCTGCTGCAAAAACGTCTGTGGAAGCAGGTTGCTAATCTGAGATCAAACAGGAAACATACAGCAAATTTTATTTTTGTACAGTTGTGACTCGATAATTCGACCCTTAATAATCCAAGAACCTTGCTATCTGACAGGTTTTTAGGAAAAACAAACGGAACTCATTAAAAATAGCCTTAACATACCGACAGCCTTGGATTCTGACTCTGACACGACATTTTATGTCACCAATCAGGATAACGGCGTATTATCTGACTTAACACTCCGACAGATTGGCTACGTTCAGACTGCAGGACTTAATGCTCAATTCAGATTTTTTTGTGAAATCTGTTTTTTTTTGCGAGTTCGTTCACATTTCCAGTTCAATGCGACTTGTATGTGATCTGCTGTGTGAACTTCATACGACCCAAAAGTGTCCCGCATGCGCAGAAGAGGACACGACGACGTTACACGCAGTGAGCGTGCTCAGTGTTTGCGGAAGTAAACACGGATGGTAACAGTGGAGCGTATCTGCCACTCCCCCACCGCCACCGATGGTGGAAACAGAATTTTGACCGCTGTCCTAAACTGGCATCAGCAGCCAAGTACTACCTGTGCGTTCCGGCCATTTCCACCCCGTCAGAGTGCTCCCCTGGGGTGGAATTGCCCCCCCACCATGCCAAATATTCATCATTAATTGGGCCCAAATATCCAGAGCCCAGAAAGTGCTATTGGGACCAGCCCTGCTCGTTATTATAACAACTACAAACAATGAATATTTACAACAAATGAGCCTTCAAGCATCAAGCCCTCCTTGTATCTCGACCTCCGTCTTGACAATCCGACAGCCTTGCTATCCGACATAAAAGAACATTTAGTGTCGGATCATCGAGTCACAACTGTAGTTTAATTTCATTGTTAGCAACTTTATTGTTTATTATTGCGTCATGTTTGCTTTGTACTGATATTATCACATTTTCTTGAGCTGATATCAGCTACCTACGAGCTGATAAAAGCACAATTTGCTGGCTGAAAATCAAAACAAGCTAAAGAGACCATAAAAAAAAAAAAAAGCTACACAGAGCTGAGAGAAACTGCAGAGTTGGGTGCTAAAGCTCCCTATTCCACCTCATGCATTTGATGCCTACAAAAACATTGATCGGTGCAGCTTTACAGAATGAAACATCAAGAAAACTGTACTCGACCGCCACGCCGCTAAATTCTAATCTCCTAATTGCGTAAAGGAAAACACCCGAGCTGCCGAAACACCGCAAGGGGACCCCCGATGCGTGAGCTTTTCCAGATCTGATGGCAACAAAACACCTAATTATGCAGTGCAAAACATGTGGCCAGCTGTGAGGGGCCGTTTCCAAAATTTTGTTCGCACATCACAGAGAGACAGATGTGGAGTCGCTGCAAACACAGAAGCAGAAAAGAGCGACGTACCTCTCCCTGTTAAACTTGAGGGAATGCAGGATGGCGGGGATTTTTTGCCTCAGGTTCCACAGGTGGATGCTGTCGTCAGCTAAGGCACTCACCAGCGCCCCCTGCATCGAGGGCAATAAACAGAGAGGGCGTTAATCAGGAAACAGCTTGTGGCTTGCAGTTTCAGAAGAATGAATTAGTAGCACACAAATATGAGGGTATTACAGAGGCATGTGGGTCACGCCATTACTGTTTAATCAATGCGTAAAAGCACAGTTCATTCATCAGTAATGATCCGTGGCCTATAAACACAGCACACCAGATACCTGCCATCGTAAATACACAGACGCAGGATGATGCAGATGCAGAAGACGAGGAAGTCAAACAAGGACACAAGGAATTAGGTAATGACAACAAACCTCGTTGATCAGGAACTGGAGCTGGATGACAGCAGCGCCGCTCTCATGCTGACAGTAGCACTCCACACCTGCACGGCCGAAGCTGAAAGTTGGCTCAGTTAAGGAAAAACTGGACGGTTGCCAGTAAAAGTTAATGCAGAAACCCCCCCCCCCTTCAGACATACGGCGGCTTATCTGATACAGTAATAATGTCAATTGAAATTGCTATTTCCAGCCTACTGTGGGCGTCTTTAATATTAAAAACATACAAAAACGATTCCCAAGCTTGTTTTTTTTTTTCGTTTTTTTTAAATGTAAGTTGACATTTTCCGCTTGCACTCCTAAAAAGGCACTGACAAGAGCATGAAACAAACCAAACTGGTGAGTTATAAATAAAATCAGTGGGCCCTGTCAGCCTTATTTATTCACATGCGTCAGCCGGTGTGACGGCAGCATGATTAACTTTAACTCTCACCTCTCTCTCTCTCTCTCTTTTTTGGACTGGAAGTTCAGGTTGTCTGCTTAATGTGCCCATTGAAAACCAGTCAGACCACCCATTCAGCTAACGGTAAGGGTGGGGTTTCGATTTGGTGAGAAGAAGGACCGAAAATTGCATGCGTGGTAAGAAAAAAAGGGACGGCACTTCTCCATTTCACCCGGCCTCTAGTCACTTTCACAGAGATAGTATGTGCTCAGTCATGCACTCCAGCACAAAAGAATAAGGAAGCAGATCTAATCACACAGAGGATCTCTACACAGACAGATTTGCCACAAAGACAGAAAAAAAAAAAGGTGCACTGTTTCTCACACTCAAAGAAAAGCTCTACAGACAGGCAGCTGTGTCTGAGTGTATTTTGAGCTGAAACAGCACAAGAAGTCGGACCAGGATTAACCAAGCTGTGATCAAACAATCCCTCAGCTCCTTAAACAAACTAAGGTGGGGTTATTTCGAGGAGGCTGTTTCAGGACATCGGTGGACATCACTTCTGCAGAAAGACAGAGGCAAACGCAGACTTTTAGACTTTCAGCTGGCGCCAGACGAAAGGCTGTTGGCAACTGAACTCGCATTCACCCGTGACCTTTTCGGTCCAGTTTTAGCTCCCGGCCGCGCAAGTTCTGTACAACATTTGTCAGAATTATTAATGGATATCATGTCTCCACAGGTCCACAATGGAGGAGGAAGAGTCATTAAGTCTGTTTCATAGCCTCTGGTCATGCATAAATAAGAACAGAAGTAGTCTAAAGAGCAAGAATGATAATATGGAACACTGGGGTGTATTGCTGTAATGCAGTGGGATCACTTCAGCAACAGTTAATACAAGGAACTGTATTTATTTTTCTGCAAACATAAGCTCAAAATAATCTAAAGAAGGTGTCTGAACTGCTTCTGTTGCAACATAGTTAGAGGTGCCGCTGAGCAAAGCTACTTCCCAAGCTAGCAGGAAATCACAAAGACGAACCTCGACACCATTCTTATCGCCGTGACGATCCTTCTCTTAAAACTTCCTTTTAACACGTCGCGATCGAAACCTTTCGTAACATCAAACAAGCCACAAGATACAAACTAACACAGTCTGCTAACGGAGACCGTTTTAGAGTAAAAGTACAGTGTTAAATTAGCAGAATATCTGCTGCTGGGAAATTGTGAGCACAGGAAGCTGAGTCACTCTACGAAACCTGTGATTCATATGTAGCAAAAAAATTCTCGCTGTGAGGAAAATGAAAAGGCAAAATAATAGTTCCTGTCACCATCTGTTGGTCATGTGATTGGATTCAAATCATGTGGCATATTTTCAAACGATCTCGTTCCTTTAGAGCTGATATAACAAGCCGAGTAATTAATTAGTCAGTTAGTTTGGAAACGTGAAGATTTGCTGGTTTTACGTCTTGCATAACTGTAAACCGGATAACATAAAGTTTGGCTGATAATCAATCAGGAAACTATTATTATCTGCAGTCGTACACTCCACGTGTCAGATGCAATATGTGTTAGTCATGTCAATGTAAAATGAGGGCAATGCCAAATATTTTGCTTTCTCAATCTTTTACGAGGATTTCCTCTTTGTTCCCAAGAGTCTTAAGACATCACACGCTCAAGTCATCCTCCCTGAACATGCAACACTTCCCCGGTCGGTAAACCAATGTGGTTCACCTCAGCATTTCAACATCAGCAGGTTTTCTTGTGAAGTCAAGTGATGATCATCAGGGCGGGACGAGTCTTTATCTCGCTTGCTTATACATGAAAGACAGAAAATGTCTTTTGCAGCCTGTCTAAAAGTCTCACGTCAAAGCTGAGAGAAGAGGAAGCTACACTTGAACGGTGTTTCTGCATCGGAAGCTGATCAAAACAAGCGTCTGACTTCTAGCATGACCAGCGGGTGACTGGTCATGCAGCCTGGAGATTCCCAGAGAACGCATAAATTAGAGCATTCGGTCAATAGGTTAAAAATATGCAGGGAGAAGACATTAAGTCCAGTTTTAAAAAGTTCCGAACGCTCACTTTCACCACAGACTTGAGCATTTCTAACTGCCAAAGACAAGGCAAGTTTGTGCGCTGGCCAGCGTGAGCGTTGGAACGAGCAGCGAACTGTCTACAGTAACACACTGATTAAAACACTGTAGTAGAGACAGATCTTGTAAAAGCAGACATTTATTGCTTGTAGACACCTCATTGAGCTTATGTCTACTGAGCTGTGGCAGCGTTTCCAAACTCCAGGGGCAATGAGGTGGATCGATACAGCCCGTCTTTTGATAAATGGACCAATTGCCTGAATGACAGTAATCCCATCAGCTCCACCTTGCACATTAGGACAACATGGAAGCGGTGTGTGTGTTCTCGGGGAGTCGCCCGGCGAAAACGCGGCGCTCTCTTAATCTGCAGAGTGGATAGAGACGAGGACGGAGCCGCTTCTAATGAAAAGCTAAACAAAGCAGATGGGCCCCCTGAGCAGGATATCAGCACAAAGGGAAACCCCGACTTAAAAACACAAATAGGTGGCCCCTGTGGACGGTGCAGCAGCAGCACAACCTGGATATGACTCCACCGGCACATGCAGCAGCAGTCTGGAATCCAGGGGGCACTTGATCTGCTGTGACTCATGGAAGTTAGCTGTAAAACCATTTTTTTTTTTTTTTTTATCCATGAACACAAACAAATACAAAACTGACTTCCAACTGCCTGAGGGGCCACGCAGCACTGTGGCAGCTTGATTGTGTGTGCGTTGTGCACGTCCAGTTATGTTTACAGCACATATGAAGTGGCATGCTGGCACTGACTGGGCAGCACAGTTGATGAGGTTGGCTCCTCGGCATATGGCGGAGGAGCTGTTCATGCTACTGCAGAGATACCACTAATGAGCCCGGGTGCTCCAGGAGAAGGAGGCTGCCGGCTGCACAGAAGCACACATCCTAGCTAGAGTCTACCTCTAAGCTCCCCTCCGCTTCCCTCAGCGTGGTTTCTTTCTCTCTTTTTTTTTTTTTTTAACTCGTGCAGAATGACAGGAGGCAGAAAACATCACTTACTGGGTGAATTCCCCTGACTTAGAGCAATGTTGAATGGCAGCTTGGCCACGTGAGGTTTGCGAGAATTATTCCAGAAGCGTAAAAAAAAACAAAAACGTGGGTCCGATGTGTGTGCACATGAGGAGGATGATGATGTTAAAAAAAAACAAAAAAACACTTGACTCATGCCAGCTTTTACTTTCCTTGTGTGGCTCTTTTCATTTTCATTTTCACGTGGTAAGAAAAAAAAAGAAAAGGATACAGCCTCAAAGCTCCAGTCTGAGTCCCAATGGCCAAGATTTTCTGTACGGGGTCAAAAGCCATTGAGGATGGTTGATATGGGAAGCCATGACGCACAGTCTGCAGGAAAGAGCAGAATTTATATCAGACCTCCAGTCGGCTAATCAATCATCTCCTACACAGTCAAGCTGGCATTAGTGGAGAAAAAAACATTATCATAATCTCCTCCAAATGTAATCCATCAATGTGGAAAATTAGTCTCATTATCAAAATAAATTAGATAAAGCATAAACATCAGTACAAATGGGGACTGGGATGTTTTTTTTTCTTTCTGATAACCGGCGTGACATGTGTGCAGGCTCAGTCCTGTAAAACAACAGTAATAAAATAAATCAGTCCTCGGGCTCATATTTGCAGCCTTGGACCGCAAAGCTCACTGTCAGGATCTTTACAGTAGCCCGGCCACCAAAATATTATCATCATCAGGCATCTATAACTCAATTACTTCAGGTTGGAAACCCTTGGCCAGCCATCCATGAGCTCTGTACAGCTTGCAGCAGGATTATGTAACAGGTAATGCCGTGGCCCTGTAACCCAGGGACCTGACCTGTTCTGCTCCCAGCTGGGGCAGGAGCTGGTGGGCCGGCTCTCCGAGGTCTTCCAACGCTTTTCATGCAAAACCTTTTCCAGCCAGACCTAACGTTATGAATTATTAAACCGTGCATGGGTTAGTTTGGGGGGAAAAATCTTTTCTGATGATCTGTGAGGCTGGAACTGACAGATTTTGTGGTTTGAAGTTGTCTCTAAACAACACTGCTCATAAGTTTTGGGCATTCAAAAAATGAGCCCTGGAAAGATTTCTCAGGGGAGGCAAAATCCATGATCCTATTCATTCATACAAAAGTTAAGCTGAAGTCAATATAATCAATCTGTCTACTTAGGTTTAGGGCTGCAACTCAATCATTTCCACTGTGGATCACTTTCTTGATTAATCAATTAGTTGTTATGTGTATAAAAGGTCAGAAAATGGTGAAAAATGTCAATCAGTGCCTCCAAAATGACAACATGACTTACTTGAATGTCTTTAAGCTCAAAGATGTCATACAGGAGCAAAGAGACCAGCAAATATTCCAGGAATTTTGACTCTTTTTCATTATAAAAACTCCTCTAATTGAAGACTCAATTATCAAAACAGCTGGCGATTACTATAACAGTCGATTAATCGTTGCAGCTCCACTTGAGTTCAACATTCAAGGGGATTTTTCCCAACTCAAATTTAGCTGGAATAAATGAATTTGTACAATTTTTTACACTAAAATTGTGCCAGGAAGGGATCTTTCTCACAGCCAGCATGGACAGAAGGAGTTATTACAGCTCAGGACATGTGAGAGTTGCATTATAAGACTATGAGCTGATTATGGTAGCTAGCTAACTCCCAGTGATAGAGAACAAACAGTGGCCTGAAGCGAAGACTGGATAGCAACACAGTCACTGGTCAACACTCAGCCCCCCATTAACGTCCCTGAGGCTCTAACAAGTACTTTAACATCTTGACTTTAAATGTGCTCTTTTCTGGGGTGCTCTATGTGCATATCCAAGGCTCTTCCATCCCACCGAGCAGTGCTGATGGAGATGAAAACAACGCCAGTGTTTGGTCACGCCGCTGTCATCTGACTGTCAGTGAGCAGCACCAGTCCGTTAACGTTAGCCTCTTATTAACGGACACCCACCTTGCACAGCTGAAAATGCTCCGACTGGAGAGTCTCCTGGACAACGTCGTTTTCCCTGGGAGTACCCGGCTGAGCAGTTGCGGAGGAGGACGAAGAAACCGCTGTCAAGCCGTCAAGCACCTTCCTAATGTTGAACTTCTTCATTTTCCTCCGGTACGGACGCGACGGTTGAAAAAACAGCTCAGGCGAGCTACCATAAATTGGATAGAGAGGGGGTAGCTGCTAGCTAGTTAGCCGAAATAACGCACAGTTAATATCTTTCTGTGCACATCTCACATGTTACGGAGGGTGTTGCCAGCGCACTCCCCAAAAGCACCCGAGTCACGAACATTGATTAAGCGAGTCCTTGCCGATATCGGTGTTAATCCGCCATTTATGTGGCCAGCTTTGGCGTTATTCGATCGGGATCAATCGTTTCCGTGAGCTGCTTCCCCAGCCAGGGCTCAGCGGGTAGCAAACTGGCTACGGAAACGCAGTGAGCTGCAGCGGGGATTGAGTCTGCGCTCTGCGGTCACCCGGATGAAGGGCCGGTGTTACGGCAGATTCTGTTACCGTCACATTCTGTGACCTCGACCGGAGCGTGATCGAAGAGACGTTTTAAACCCGCAACACTGGTGCTATTGAGCGTTTTAATCGCTGTGGGGGAAAAAAAAAAAAAAAAAAAATCGATTTACCTTTGAAACGAGGAATGCCATTCTGTCAAGTGGGAACAGCCTTACAAATAAAAAGTTGACTGTAAAATAGCCTGTGGATAAAAAAAACAAAACAAAAGCAAAAACATTAAATAGGATAA